TGGCTAATAGCCATTAATGGACTTAACTTCCATGAATTTATCTAGTTCTCTTTTAAACCCTGTAATAGTCCTGGCCTTCACAACCTCCCCAGACTATGTGCTGTGTGAAGAAGAACTTCCTTTTACTTGTTTTAAACCTGCTGCCCATTAGTTTCATTTAATGGCCCCTAGTTCTTATATTATAGGAACAAGTAAATAACTTTTCCTTGTTCACTTTCTCCCCACCACTCATGGTTTTATAGACCTCTATCATATCCCCCCTCAGTCTCTTTTCCAAGCTGAAAAGTCTCAGTCTCTTTAATCTCTCCTCATATGGGATCCGTTCCAAACCCCTCATCATTTTAGTTGCCCTTCTCTGAACCTTTTCTAATGCCAGTATAACTTTTTTGACATGAGGAGACCACATCTGTATGCAGTATTCAAGATGTGGGCATACCATGGATTTATATAAGGGCAATAAGATATTCTCTGTCTTATTCTCTATCCCTTTTTTAATGATTCCTAACATCCTGTTTGCTTTTTTGACTGCCGCTCCACACTGCCTGGACGTCTTCAGAGAACTATCCACGATGACTCCAAAATCTCTTTCCTGATTAGCTGTAGCTATATTAGCCCCCATCATATTATATATATAGTTGGGATTATTCTTTCCAATGTGCATTACTTTACATTTATCAACATTAAATTTCATTTACCATTTTGTTACCTAGTCACTTAGTTTGGTGAGATCTTTTTGAAGTTCTTCACAGTCTGCTTTGGTCTTAACTACCTTGAGCAGTTTAGTATCGTCTGCAAACTTTGCCACCTCCCTGTTTACCCCTGTCTCCATATCATTTATGAATAAGTTGAATAGGATTGGTCCTAGGACCGACCCTTGGGGAACACCACTAGTTACCCCTCTCCATTCTGAAAATTTGCCATTTATTCCTACTCTTTGTTTCCTGTCTTTTAACCAGTTCTCAATCCATGAAAGGTTCTTCCCTATTATCCCATGACAACTTAATTTATGAAAGGGCCTTTGGTGAGGGACGTTGTCAAAGGCTTTCTGGAAATCTAAGTACACTATAGCCACTGGATCCCCTTGTCCACATGTTTGTTGACCCCTTTGAAGAACTCTAACGGATGAGTAAGACATGATTTCCCCTTACAGAAACCATGCTGACTTTTGCCCAACAAATTATGTTCTTCTATATGTCTGACAATTTTATTCTTTCTATTGTTTCAACTAATTTGCCCAGTACTGACATTAGACTTACCGGTCTGTAATTGCTGGGATTGCCTCTAGAGCCCTTTTTAAATGTTGGTGTTACTCTAGGTATCTTCCAGTCATTGGGTACAGAAGCTGATTTAAAGGAAAGGTTACAAACCATAGTTAATAGTTCTGCAATTTCACATTTGAGTGCTTTCAGGGTGAATGCCATCTGGTCCTGGTGACTTTTGGACCAGAAGGTATCCCAGGACAAGGGGCCTGAGTGAGGACCTTGCCACGTGTGGTGTGAGAAGTGGGATCCAGTGCCAGCAAACGAAGTTGGAGGCCCAGTAATGGAGGAGACCCTGCAGTGGCTGGTCAAACAGCAAGAGCAAATGCAGCAGTCCCTGCAAAACTTCCCAGAGTGATAGGCCTTGCTAACCTGATAGGCAGAGCAGCAGCAAAGCCTGCAGAACTTCATTAAAAAGCAGAGCAAGGTACAGCAGCAACTCCTGCAACAAGTATTGAGTCCTGGGGGAGGGGATGGCACCCAACTACCAGGCCTGGGACTCTGTAAAATGGGGCCAGCAGATGACCCAGATGCTTTTTTGGAGACATTTGAGCAGGTAGCCCTGGGTGCCAGATGGGAGAGGGTTACTGGGTCCTGCATGTCAAGGATTGTCTAGGTTTACCTATGTTGGCTGTCTGGTCACTCCTACGGTGGGCCAGGACTTGAGCTGCATAGGGGAGACCGCTTCAGGATGCTGAACCAAATAACCTCTAGAGATCCATTCCAGCCCCACCTTTCTACAATTACATATATGTACACACGGCACTGCTGGGCATTCCTGGTGTATCCTTTTCCCACAATGCCCTGTGCAATCTTGACACAGATATCAGTTTCTTTTGCTGCTTCATAGTTCTGCCTGCACAGATTCCTCTCCGTACACCGCAATCAGTTCTGGGATGTCCTGAACACTCCATCCTGGAACTTGCTTGCAACCCTAGGCATTCACAGTCAGGTGTGCTGCCTGCTCTGCTCACCATGCTGGTCAAACAGGAAATGAAATTCAGACTTTCCCAGGGCTTTTTCTGTGCACGTGGAGAGCAGCGGATTTGAAGGTACTGGCCAGAGCAGTCACATTTGGGCACTATGTTGAGTGCCTGAGGCCAAAGTTGACATTGAGGGCTGAGTCTGCACTATCCTTAAGTAGACTATGCAAGGCTGAATTTACCGATACTCCTCATGAAAAGGAATACTGAAACTCACTAACAGCCCTTAAAGTCAGTGGAGTGGGCTCAACAGTGTGGACTCATTGTTAAGAAAATCCACTTCAAGTAGCTAAGTTTGCCCTATACTCATAGTTTAGACGAGGCCTTAGTAGCAACATTTTGCTGGGAACTAATTAATCCTTCCCCACTGATTTAATGTTAATGGGATTCAAATAGTGGCAACAGGCATGCTGCTAATTGACAAAGTGTTGTTGTGACCCCTATTTCTGCAGCCCTGCAAGCCTGAGTGTGGCTGGAAGAGGAAACTACAATCAGTGCAGTAGTGGGGACATTTGCAGGGCTGTAGCCAAGGTAGGAAGAACTGGCACATTCCAAGCCCAGGCTCCTGTACCATACAGCCCTACAACCCCAAGTCCTGCATGAAAAGCCCCGGCATAAGGGCCACATCCCCCATTTCTCTGTACATAGCTTCCCTTCCCCACCACAGGCAAATTTACAGGCAGGCAAGAAGAGGTATCATCCATGTCCCAATGCTTCATTCCCTGGCTGTACCCATACATTACTTCCACTTATTGGCAACCTTCAGATATAATGGGCAATTTTTTAACCAGAACTTGAGATTGCTAACAAGTGGAATCCATGCTATAAGGGAAAGAACAGGATGAGAGTCAGAATATCTTAAAAAAAAAAAGTCTTCAGTGGAAACAAATATCTGTTTCGTGCTGTTCTGTGCTCTGTGCATGCGCAGATCGCTCTGCGCCGGCTCTTCCGGGTCGTAATCTACTCGCCACAGGTGAGTAGATTACATTATTTGTCGAGCCCTGACTATTATTATATAGCAGAGTGTTTATAGCACTGTATCAATAAGCTACCAGATTAATATAAACAGCTAGTAATACAGCAGGAGCAAGGTACTATCAACAAGTAAAATGCATATTGCATGAAATATGTCATCTATTTGGGGCTATTGCATTATAACTAGTGTTATGACATGTAACATTGGTTCCATTCACAATTTTTTCCAGTGGTCACTCATTCAGCGCAATGACCAGGAGTACTCTACACGTCTAATGTGGTGTTGGTAGCAAAGAAAATCATTTGCATGCCATCTTGGCTAGAAAAAAAGGAAACGTTCATTCAGATAATCAGTACTTCTTGATGCATCTGATCCAGAAGGAGGGAAATCCACCAATGAAAAAACCCTTTGATCTGAAAATCCAGTTTTAAATATCACAAAAACAGGCTTTCAGCAACATTTCCATGCTATAGGGTTTCTCAAACACTCTGAAAAACAGCAAGGACAGCTCTTCTTGTGGAATGCTACTCCTCCTTATCTTTACTAGCAAGTTCCCTCTATAAACATCCATCATATTCAGTTGATTTACTCCGTGATGATTAGGGCAGCACATTAAAATAATGCCTCGTTTTTTCTTTTCCCGGTAATCCTTTTACCACATCAGTGCAAAGCTTCAACCTCATTCTCAGATGAATGCAGAGACAAAGAGAGCAATTCACAGCTCACCAGGATGCAAAGCAAAGAGCACTGTGATTTGGTTAAATCAAGTTACTGTCAAAGACTCTGCCATATATTTACTAGTTCTTGTTGAATGATATCGTTATCACAGGACTGACCATAAGACAGAAATGGGAAACAGATTTTTTAAACCACATATTTCAATGCTGGCAGCAAGTACATGCTCAAAATACCCCTAGTCAAAATTGGACTTCATTAAAACAAAAGAAAATATTTTATTTTTTTTTCATTGACTGGCTCTTGAAAGTAATTACCAATGAATATTCCTAAGAACAGGGAGGGAAGACCTATGCCTGCCTCTTCCACTCTTTCAATTCCATAGCATTATTTGGTTTATCCTCTACTAGTGGATGTTGTGTTGCATCATGCAATTAAACAAACTTAGTCTGAAACATGAGCAGACATCACAAGGCATTTTATACTAATAGGAGGACCAGGATCTCACATGTATGAGTATCAGCATGTTATAACAGGAGAAATTCTACATGCTTCTTTTTCAGTCTGAAGCCTAAGGAATCACTTGCTGTCCCTCCCTGACTTCTGAAAATGAGATTAGAAGGTTATTTTCTGAGTCAGACTTGGGACTTTTGATTTTCCACTCCAGTCAATATCTGATAATTTACAGCTTGTTCTTACTGGATGTTAAGAACAGACTGACTCCAGTCCTGCTACACCGGGAGCAATCATAGTCCAAAATGCTCTGAAAAGTTGTCATACTCCTTCCTGTTCAAGAACACATGAGCAGTTTGGCCCTCTGGAGTTTAGCCTACGTGTAGTTTAAAAAACAAAACAAAAGATATTTTCATCACTAAATGCAGGTTTTTTTTTAATTAAGTCAATTATTGTTTAAGGAGCTACAGCTGTAGCATTCTTAAACACAGTTTTAAAAGGAACTGCTTCTATTGCTAAAGAGCTCCATCAGTAGATATAATTGAATTTCAAATGTTCCATGGGGTACAATGTCTTGAGGCATTTTTCAGGAATATATGGAAATGCTTCCCACTTCTCGTAAAAGGCTGTGATGGGGAAAAAAGCGAGAAACCCAAAGTTCTCAGTCCATTTTAATTATTATCCTGCAAATTCACATCAGAAAAACAAAGAGCATCTGCTGAATAGATTTTTCCCTTCAAACACTCAATTGCTTCTTCTTCCTTCAGTTTTTTAAACTCCTGGTAGTGGACCTTTGTGGAAAGGAGAGGAAGGGAAAAGCTGCGTTAGTTCTGCTGCTAAGCAACAAAATCACATTGTCTCATGAGCCAACACACTTAATGAAGGGAAACAGATGTAGTAAACCCCTGCATTCCAGAAAACGATGGGTGCAGATCAGCCATTGCACATGAAAACAGGCGAAGGAATCAATAGCTGATCAATTTAATGCAAGGTTCTTAGGTACTGTAATTCAGGCTTTTGATTACCTCATGACAAAAAACGATCCAACTCCACCTGGACAGAGTTTACCACAGTAGAGCCCCTTTGCCCTTGTTAACTAGGGATGTTAAGAAGCATGTAATTTGTTTATCGTGTGGTCGACGAAAATGTGGCTAACTACAAGATTAATCGATAAGGGATGGCACTGCAAGTACTCAGTCCCAGTTTGTGGGTCCCGGGAGCTACCTCTTGCTGTGGCTCTGCATGAAAAGCAATTAAGGAGCGAGTGGGCAGGCAGCCTGGATCAGTCCTGGCTCACGCTGGATCCCAGGATACTACTTTCCTTACAATAATACTTTCCTTGCAGAGCCACAGCGGGGGTAACTCCTGGGACCTGGCACAAGCTGGGACTGAGCCAGGCGGCTGGCCAGCCCTCTAAAAAATTTAATGGCAGAACTGCAGGGTGGGCTGGGGGATGTGTCTAATCGATAGCATTAATCGATAACCTTTTGCTTATCAGTTAATCATTTAACCAACTACTCTATTACATCCCGATTTATAACATCGCAGAATACTATCGCTAGTCAAAGATTTTTTCCAGCAGTGCCAATTTAATTTAAGTATAGTGTTTCTTCGCCTATCATACACGTCACCATACTAATAAGATGACCTACTTCTTACCAGTACTACATGATAGCCCAGAGCTTTCAGATGCCTTATCTTCATTGCCAACTTGCCTCGGGGATGCCTTGTGCCAAAACAGAAAGCCGATACAGGAGCACAGAGAACAGCCACTCTAAAGGCAAAAACAGCATAATTTCTTAGGGAGCTGGCAAACAGCATTATGTACAGTTTAAGTATTCTTCACAGTTAACTGTTCAGAGACTTCCTTAATATTAAGGAATAGCACTGCTGTGTTATTAAGGAAGAAAAGAGAGTAGTAAAATACACACCATGGACTCAGAAAAGCAGACTGACTCCCTCAGAGACCTGATGGGCAGAATCCCCTGGGATGCTAACATGAAGGGGAAAGAAGCCCTGGACAGCTGGCAGTATTTTAAAGAAGCTTTATTGAAGGCACAGAAAGAAACCATTCCAATGTGTAGCAAGAGAAGCAAATATAGTAGGAGACCGGATTGGCTTACCAGGGAAATCCTTGGTGAACATAAGCACAAAAAAGGAGCTTACAAAAAGCAGAAACTTGGGCAGATGACTAGGGAGGGGTATAAATGTATAGCTCGAAAATGAAGGGGAGTTATCAGGAAGGCGAAAGCGCAATTGGAATTGCGACTCGCAAGGGATGTGAAGGAAGACAAGAAAGGTTCCTCCAGGCATATTAGCAAGAAGAGGGTGATCAGAGACAGTGTGGGGCCCCTACTGGATGAGGGTGGTAACCTAGTGACAGATGATGTGGGGAAAGCTGAAGTACTTAATGCTTTCTTTGCCTCTGTCTTCACGGACAAGGTCAGCTCCCAGACTAATGCGCTAAGTGACGCAATATGGGACAAAGGTGGACAGCCCTTAGTGGGGAAAGAACAGATTATGAACTATTTTAAAAAGCTAAACGAACATAAATCCATGAGTCTGGACTTAATATATCCGAAGCTACTGAGGGAGTTGGCAAATGTCATTGAGGAGCCTCTGGCCATTATCTTTGAAAAATCATGGCGATCGGGAGAGATCCCGGATGACTGGAAAAAAGCAAATGGAGTGCCCATCTTTAAGAAAGGGAAGAAAGACGATTCAGGGAACTATAGGCCAGTCAGTCTTACCTCAGTCCCTGGAAAAATCATGGAGGGGGATCCTCAAGAAATCCATTTTGAAGCATTTGGAAGAGGGGAAGGTGATCAGGAATAGTCAGCATGGACTCATGAAGGGCAAGTCGTGCCTGACCAATCTGATTAGCTTCTATGATGAGGTAACTGTCTCTGTGGACATGGGGAAGGCAATGGATGTGATATACCTTGACTTTAGCAAGGCTTTTGATACGGTCTCCCACAATATTCTTGCCAGCAAGTTAAAGGAATGTGGATTGGATAAATGAATGGTAAGATGGACAGAGAGCTGGCTGGAAGGTCGGGCCCAGCGGGTAGTGATCAACGGCTCGATGTCAGGATGGCGGTCGGTTTCTAGTGGAGTGTCCCAAGGTTCTGTTCTGGGACCGGTTTTGTTCAACAACATTATTAATGATCTGGATGAGGGGATGGATTACACCCTCAGCAAGTTTGCGGATGACACCAAGCTAGGGAGAGAGGTAGATACGCTGGAGGGCAGAGAATGAGTCCAGAGCGACATAGACAAATTGGAGGATTGGGCCAAATGAAATCTGATGAGGTTCAACAAGGACAAGTGTAGAGTCCTGCACTTGGGATGGAAGAATCCCAAGCATAGTTACAGGCTGGGAACCAACTGGCTAAGTAGCAGTTCTGCAGAAAAGGGCCTGGGGATTACAGTGGGTGAGATGCTGGATATGAGTCAAGAGTGTGCCCTTGTAACCAAGAAGGCTAATGGCATATTAGGTTGCATTAAGAGGAGCATGGCTAGTATAGCCAGAGAAGTGATTATTCCTCTTTATTTGGCTCTGGCGAGGCCACATTTGGAGTACTGTGTCCAGTTCTGGGCCCCCAATTACAGGAAGGATGTGGATGCATTGGAGACGATCCAGCGGAGAGCGACCAAAATGATTATGGGGATGGGGCATATGACCTACGAGGAGAGGCTGAGGGAGTTGGGTCTGTTTAGTCTGCAGAAGAGAAGAGTGAAGTGGGATTTGATAGCAGCCTTCAACTTCCTGAAGGGAGGTTCCAAAGAGGCTGGAGAAAGGCTGTTCACAGTAGTGATGGATGGCAGAACAAGGAGCAACAGTCTCAAGTTGCGGTGGGGAGAGGTCCAGATTGGTTATTAGGAAAACTATTTCACTAGGAGGGTAGTGAAGTACTGGAATGGGTTACCTAGGGAAGTATCGGAGTCTCCATCCCTAGAGGTGTTTAAGTCTCGGCTTGACAAAGCTCTAGCTGGGTTGATCTAATTGGGATTGGTCCTGCCTTGGGCAGCGGGCTGGACTTGATGACCTGCTGAGGTCTCTTCTAGCTCTGTGGTTCTATGATGAGCTATTGGTCTGATGCAGTATGGCTGTTCTTATTTACTTTCACATGTAAACATTTATTTCCTTCTTGCTTCCATTATCTGCTCTGCAAATCCTTAACCTGCCTGGAAGATTCAATAAAGTGTAATGGTTTGGTAGCCTGACAAGCAGTACTGGTACAGAGTAACCCGCTCCCCTTCCACCAAAAGACAGACAGAGAAATTCATCTGTGCAAGGCCATTCTTCACTTAAATCCCACTTAAGCCCTCAAAATATGACTTAAGTGATTGCACAGGCTTTGTGCTAAATGTCACTATCAGGGGATAAGTCATTGTTAGATTGTGCAGATTTTGTTTTACTGTGGTCTGCAAGCCACAATTTAGGTTTCCTAGGTTATAACACTGTCCAAGAATTGGGTGAATAGACTTATACAGACTTCATTTACTAAAAAAGACATTTCTCAGCATAAAGTTAAACTGGCTTCCCCATTCGAACACAGAACAGGGAGATAATTGTTCACTCAATGCACAATTCGATATAACTCGTTGCCAGAGGGTGCTGCTGAGATCAACTTCAATAAGTGTCAACAAGGGATTCAACATTTATATGATAATAAGAATATTCATAGTTGTAGTTGATGCAAAATTTTTGTTGAAGGAAATCAAAATCTCATGTTTCAGGATTTATGTCAAACTCTACTCATTAGGGGAGGTATCCTGTTCCAGTGTCCACAGTATAACAGTGCTTTGGATAAATTCCAGAAAGTTCAGAGATGTGGGAAAGGATTGGAAAACACACCAATTTACCTAGAGTCGTTGTGAATTCTCCATCACTGGCAATTTTTACATCAAGATTGAATGTTTTTCTGAGACATGCTTTCGCTCAAACAGGAGTTAATTCAGGGAGTTCTATGACTTGGGTTAGATAGATGTCAGACCAGATGATCAAAGTGATCCCTCTGTCTGGCCTTATAACCTAGGAGTTCTTTAGGAGGGCAGATTATCCCACATCTACCCAATGTGGAGTTTCTTGTACCCTCCCTCTCCCCGTGCCCATGGAACATCCAGTGCTGGCCCCTGTTGGAAAAGGAATACTGGACTAGGACTTGGTATGATCCAGTCTGGCAATTCTTATGTTCCTGTGAGAGCACAGAGAAAGAGAAAAACTTGTAACCAAATTAAGGTACCTTTGAACATCAGGAGAATCAGCAGGATCTTCCGCTTCAGTTACTGGAAGCACTTTCTTTCTGTCTGCATCCATTTCGATTTCAAAAGCTGAACATAAAACAGGCAAGTATTAAATGCCACAAGAAGCTTTGACCGTGGCACGATTTCAGCATATTCCATGGAATCAATAGAAAAAAACCCACCTACAATTATTGCATGTGTGTGACGGTATGCACAATATATTGCCATTACTTCAAGAGCAATAAATAGATTCAACTGGTGCTCTGGCACAATCAAAAAAGGTGCTTGTTACTGGAAATGATAGATATAATACTCCTAGGTGTATAAATTCAGGATTTAATGAAAAGAGTCCTGACAAGGTCACCATGAAACCTCAGACAGATCCATACATATTCACCTTTAACTTCTTACCACTGCATTTGATAAGTTTAGGAAGTATTCAAAGTGAATCAGTTAATGAGAGCAGCTTGCAAATGATATACTCATAGAAATATAAGCCCTACATACAAAGAAATAATACACCATGCAACTTTACTACATTTATAAATGGTCTCTCAGTGAAGGTCATATCCTGTTTTTTAAATCAAATAAAAAGGAAAATACAGTAAAACCTGCGCTATCCAGAACTTAAGCATCCGGAAAACTGTCTAGAAAGTCTTTCTAGAAAGTCTGGGTGTTTGGGGGAGGGAACACAAGCCCCAAGCCCTGTACTCCCCAGGCAAATGCCATGCCAGAGGCTCCCCTCCCTCATCCTGTTTTCCTAATGTGAGAGCCAGCTCCATCCCTGGGGCAGCTGGTGTTGGCTGTCCAGCCACTGCCTGAATGGGTGGAGGAGGATGGGATTGAGCCCACCACCCTACGGTCCAGAAGCTATCCCCCACTTCACTTCCCTACCTTCAGCAGGTCCCTTATCCTGCCTTCTAAGGCATGAACCATGATGGAACCATCAACTTCCCTACCTTCAGCAGGTCCCTTATCCTGCCTTCTAAGTGTGGGAGCCAGCTCCATCCCTGGGGAGGCCCCTGCTGGCTATCCTGCCACTCCCAGGATGGATGGTACTTGAACCCACCACCTTGCACTCCCTAGTCAAGTCATCTATCCCCTAGTCCACTCAAGTGCCCACACCACCGCCCTTCTTTCAGAGGGTCTTTTATCCTTTGTTGGCTGTCTGGTCCCTCCGAGGGTGGGCATCTGCAAGGGCAGGACTTGGGTCCCCAACCCTGATCTCCCCAGGGAAATGCCTTATCCCCTAGGCCACTCCAGAACCCTCCCCACATCCCTACCCTTAGGGCGTCCCCTTTCCACACACTGAATCCCTTGGCCCAAGACCAGAGCCTGCACCCCAACCCTCTACCCCAGCCTGGTGAAAGTGAAAGAGATTCAGGGAGGAATGGGGATGGAATGAGCACAGTGAGACCTTGGAGCAGGGGCAGAGCAGGGGCGGGGCCTCAGAGAAGGGAGGGAAGGAATCTGGGTGAGGGTATTTGGGTTTGAGGTAGATCTTACATTGCACTTACATTGAAAATGTGATCTTGTGGTCAAATAGAGCTTATCACCAGAAATTTACATTTTTAAACATCTTATGTATAATAATGGCCAGTCCATTACTTTACCACTTGAAATGAATACTGAAAGGCACATGACAATGGAGCGGTCCCATACCAATGTTGTAATCATGTGGCAGCTGGATGTTTTGCTGAAACATACGCTCATCTCCCAGAAGTTTCAGCAGAGCCTCCCGAACCTCAGGGAAATCAGAAACCAAAGGTGAGGAGGGTTTCTTTGTGAACACAGCTGCTGGCTTGGGGAATGAAGAAGGGCTATCAAGTTCCAGACACACATTCACACAGTGCAGCATCTTTTCATTCTGTTCTTTCTTAAATCCTTCTGGAGGGGAAAAAAAAAAGTAGCAATATATTTGTATCGTATTAGCAGATTTACCTGGCATTGCTCGGGTAATGAAAGAAGGCTCAGGGCAGGGGGCTGGGTGTGTGGGGGTGCAGGAGTAAGAGCAGGGGCTTGGGGATGTGTGGGTATCAGGGCAAGGCTGCTGGAGGTGCAGGAATCAGGATTGGGGAGTGAGGAGTGGCTCGGGACATGAAGGTTAAGATGGGAGTCAAGGCTGGGGGGTCAAGGTTGGTTAACAGGAGTCAAGGTTGGGGGGAATGAGAAGAGGTTCAGGAAAGGGGTTGGGAGGTGCGTGGGGCTTATGGCAGAGGGTGGGGTAGGGATGTGAAAAGTTAACCAGTTCAGTAGTAAGCATCTCAGTTAATAGGTAATGCTTACTAGTTCTGGTTTAACCCGTGGGGGCTAGAACAGCTCCCGCCGTGGACAGGGGTGCTCCAGCCCAGCTGGAACTTCCCCTGTCCGAGATGGGCACACCACAGCAGCCTCTGCCTGCAGCATGTGGCCGCTTCAGCCCAGTCATGACACTTAGAGGGGCCACTCCAGCTGAGCTGGGCTGAAGTGGCGCCCCCGCCATGCACCTTTAATTGGTTCACTGGTTAAATGTCACATTGAACTGGTTAACCAATTAAATGGGATTTTAGATCCCTAGAGGGGGGTGCAGGAGGTTGGCTGCTCCTTAGGGCTAGACAGTACAGCTGCCTGGTGCCACACAACATCCCCCCAACATGGCTGGAGCCACGGTGCCTGACTGCCTGGTGGTGGAGGCTATGTTGCTCAGGCACCAGATCACTGGGGCTGGCTGGAATAAGGGAGGCAGCTTACTAGTATGTGAACCTTACCCTTCGTGGTGCCAGCAACATCCAGAGCCCCATCCAAAGCTTGCCACTCTCTAAGGGTATGTCTGCACTAGCTCGTTAGTTTGAGCTAGGTAGGCAAATTAGGGCAACCTGAGTTGCAAATGAAGCCCGGGATTTAAATATCACGGGCTTCATTTGCATGTTCCCAGGCGCCGCCATTTTTAAATCTCCCTTAGTCCAAACTAACTGCCCGCGGCTAGATGCGGCAGTTAAACGTTAATTTGAACTAACTCGAGTTAACTGTTACTCCTCATTCCACGAACTAACGAGCTAGTGTAGACATACCCTTACCGATGCACCTGCCCTCCCAATGGTCATTCTGCAGTATAACTGCATGCTAGCAGACCTCCCCTCTTTGCTTTTTATGAGGATCATATTCCAGGAAAATCCCATTGTCCTGGAACAACCAAACCCTGACCTTGCTTTAAGTTATGATAAAGATAAAGATATGGTAAAGATGAGAGAGCTGCATACCAAATATGATAGTCCTAATTCTGACCATTGAGAAGGAGTTCTTGAACAGACTCATGGATGGACGGATACACAACTCTCTCAAACATATTGTTTTACCCCATCAAATTCCCAATTTCACTGCATACTTTTTGCAGTAAAAACAGATGTCAGCTGTGCTGAGCAGCAGATTAATTCCAAATTAGGCATAATAAAACCAATTGTTTCTTGAAATATGCCATCATGACACTGTTAAAACTTTCTTGACTATATAGCTAGCTAAGCAACTACAGGGCATACATTACTGTAGAATCAGCCTCCTGGTGAGGTAGGGCAGTGCTATTATTTGCATTGTACAGAGGCAGAGAGAGGCAAACAGGTAACTGAGGGTACATCCAAGGTCACTCAGGGTACATCTATACAGCAGTGTTATTTGGAATAACTGACATTTTGAAATAAAGTGCATGTCTACACAACAAGGCGTTATTTCGAAATAATGTCGATCTGGACAACTTCTTACTCTGACTCCTGTAACCCTCATTACACGAAGAGTAAGGGAAGTCAAAGGAGGAGTGTTCTTTCTTCAACTTCCTGCTGTGTAGACAGCGCCAAAACCCGAGTTAAGTTATTTCAACTTGATGTAGCTGAGATCAGCTTTTGCCCCGCTGCGTAGACATGTCCTGAGGGAGTCTCTGACACAGCAGGGAGTTCAACCTCAGGACTCCCAAGTCCTAGATTACCACCGTAACCATTGGACCATCTACTCTTTAAAGTCTGAAATCTGCTTGCTTACCCACTTTTCGCCCTCTATATTACACAGCCACACGTCATCCTGGTACAGCAGGATTACTAATAAGTGACAGACCTTTACGTACATACGGAGCCTGCTTGTTTTTTTTAAAAAAAAAAACAAACCCCCAAATACTTGTGTGTTTTATCAATACTCATTTAAGGAGTTAAGTCACATTTTGGATGTCACTTTGAGAATGTGCTTTAACAGCACTAAACTACTGAGTGGGGCAACATTTTTCAGATGAATGGTAAATTCTCTAATAAAATGCTGTTTTGGGATGAGGCTACTTGCAAATTTGGATCAAATTCAGCAAATAATTCAGACTAAAAAAAATTAGGGAAAAACTGGTGGAAATGTTTCAAAACAGTATGCAACATATTTCATTTAACCTGAATGGAACTGTTTTTTATTTCAGTGAGAAAAAAAACCAAAACAACAACAAAAAATAAATTTCATTTCAAAATAAACTGATTCCCCCCCACCTTCGATTCAGCCAGCGAATGCAAGCATCATTGTTCACTCAGCTGTACTGATCTATTCTGGTTCCAAGTAGAGAAATTATTGTGTGAAGTAGAACAGCAGAGTATTCACATTCTGCAAGCAATGAATACACTTACACCGACTCAGTGCCAAACAAAGCAATTAACCGAATTACAACCACAAAGCTGAATGACTACCCTGAACTATTGCCGTTAGGATGCCTCTAACCACTAGTTGTATTTTGAGCTAATCTTTGATTTAGCTGCAAAACTTATGTTACTTTATATATTCTTGGAAAGTCTTGAATGCATGTCACAGAAGTAAGAATCCACAATTTGACTTTCTAGTAGAGAGGTCAGCATATAATTGCTGAAAGAGTTAACCAATAAGCCTCATCTTATCGATTAATCCAAATGACTATATGCACTCCCCCCCCCCCCACCCCCCCCCCCACTACGT